CAAATAAACATCTTCTGAATTTTAATTTGTCATTTAAAAAAATTTAATAATGTATAAAATTATTATGTAATATGATATTTGTAAAATAATATTATTTTGTATATTTTATTACTTTAAATGTTACTTAAATGTTATTACTTTAATTATTACTTAAACGTTTTAAATAAATTTGTTTTAAAAAATGTTTTAAACAAACAAAATTTGATTAAGGAAGCATTAAACTATTTGCATTAAACGATCACTTGATATATTACGCGAATTAATGCAATATTAAGCATTGAAAAATCTTAAAAATATTCTAAGAATTTATAAGATTAGCTGATAATTCTTTCAAGAGCCATTATGACAACAATTTCTCAAATATTTTGAAATATGTTCATTCACATGAAATGTTACACATGACCAATTTTTACGTAAATATCAATAAGTTCAATCAGAATTTTCGTATCAAGAGTTAGCAAAAAAATATTCCTTTTTAATGTGACTTTTAATAATATCTTAATCCGGAAATGTGAACAATAGCTTTTTCTACTTTCAAAAATAATACTTTACGTTCTTTTTTGTTACAAAACGGTTACGAATGTATTATCGCTTATTTAATATGCCGATATGCTCCGTCCGAGCAGCTTAATTAGGCTCTTGAATATTCACCGAACTCCGCGTTGGCGATAGCGATGTACCGTCGCGGTACAAAATAGAAGCTCGTTCATTCTTGTTTATCTTAGCCTTACCCTTGTTCATTTTTATATAAGTGACGTGCGGATAACGAAATTTTTTATTGCGAAAATTTTATTATGTTCTTAATCGTGCGGATGTGACCTGTTTCGTACTTACCAGATTCGTAAAAATGGGCAGCAGCTAAAATTATCTTCAGACATTACATGTAAAAACATTTTTTCCACTTCTTTCAACAGCTGTCAAATCGTGCATTTTCTGCCTGAACAGACTTTATTTCACTACCTTTTACAGCTATTTATTGACTGTCAGGAAGGGAAAGGATAGCAGTCCTGAGTCGGAGAAGTGTCTTAAAACCATATTAGATGTTATTTTAGTCAAATATCTCTTTATTTGCAAATAAAATTTTTTATTGCAATAGTTTTTGCAAATAATAATATAAAAAATTTTTATTGTGTCATTTCTCACCTATGATTCGATTCCAATGTCACGATTCCAATATGGCCGCGGTGATTACTCAGGAGTCTTAAAATTATTGCTATAATTGCTATAATTATATGCTCCGATAACAAAGAATTTACTTATTTTTTTTTTAGATCTATTTGCAAATAATACATTTTGTTTCTTTGTGTTTTCTGTCATGCTCCAATGATGTGCTTGCGTCACATCAAAATCTATTATATATGAGAAAAAAAGAAAGGTTCGTTTACGTTTGTTTTAGCTTTGTGATTTTCGAGTGCGAGACACACGCTGATCGATGATCGATGATCGATGATTTATTGAATTGTTAAGGGCTATTAAACGTTTGACACGAAGCGATTTGAATGTCGAGGTCTGCAGACCAATTCGCAAAACTTCGGGATCGTGATTCTAGAAGCTGAGTTCTGCACAATTGCAACTACATCTTGAACAAAGACACATAAAGAAAATGATATCTGAGAGAGGTAGAATTATAGATTTCTGTTCTGTTTGTGTGTTGTAATAAGGTGACAGATATGAGAGGTATTGTTAATTTTTCGATGAAATTAAATATTTGAAAAATTTGTGTTTGATGACGAGTCGACACGTATCAACCGTCAGCAATGGTTGTTATTCCAATTTGCAAACCGCAAGCCGATGCGTATCGCAACGATTAATACGTAAAAATAACACGCATATCGCACATATTTCGAAATATTGCGACAGTGAGATAAAACGTAAAAATTATCGTTAAAAATTAGCTCGTTAAGGTAAATTCCAAGTTTAGTTCCAATGAAATTGGATACTCGATTTACCTTAATCGAGGCATGTTTATCTGAGAAAAACGCGGAGGAATTCCGATTCGACAGCAGTTTCAGTTTGATTACGAGTATATCGCAATCGTGATAAAAGAAGACTGACAGTCATTGAATCAAATATCCTTGATATGTAACTCATTAAATAATCTTTATTTTTAAAAACGTAAAAAAAGCGAAGAAAATATGTCTCCCTGATTTAACATCGCTTGTCTTGAAAATTAAGAAAAAAAAAAAAAAAACTTAATTTGGTTGCCAGTCAAGATAGGCTTTCCTCTTAAGAATTTACTTGCCATAATAAAGACGTCTTGCATTTTCATCGTTGAGAAAATAATCTCGTTGTGGTAAACTTACGAATGAGAGACGTACATTGCATCTTTTGTAGCGCTTGAATAGAGGTTCGCTACTTTGTCGTGAAAGATCGACATAATTGCATTAGCGATGAGATTCGGCCTTTATTAAGATAGATATAGATTTCATCATAGATCTTGGACTTGATATTTCGTTGTAGTGGCCGATGTCAAGATTTGTGCAATGTAACGATGAGCAGAGCATTATCGTAGTTATTATCGTATTTTTATCACCCGTGAGAGTTATTATTATTTCGATTATTATCTCGATTATGGAGGTTCGACAGAGCTGCTGGATTTGGGAGACCGAAAATGACGGGATTAACGATTTCGCACGCAATTTCTGCCTTACACCGATGTGTCAAATCGGTAAGGGTGGCAGTTAAACGGTTAAGCCGCAGTCTTTGAAGCTACATCGTCCAGCTTCAAAGACTAATCAAGCTCGCATCGCGGACTTTTGTGTGGCGGCAAACGGAGTAGCAAACGCGTCGTTGCGTATCTTCCATGTGCGACGAACAGAACGCTCGTGGACGGAAAGATTTTTTTTTTGCAACGAGGTGTCGGTTTTAGCACGCACGGAAAAGAACTTTTCCGTAACGCTGCTTCTTTGTCCGTAGCATTTCGCGCATATCCCGAAATAACGCGTATATGAAAAATGCAAAAATATAAAATACGCATGTTTACATTTTTTTTTTTTTCACTTACTTGAAGTTAAAGTGAAATTTAATATAAAAAACGCACGAATTATTTGAATATGAGATAGTGTTGCTGAATAGATATATAAATATTTATTTATTACAAAAAAAAGCTGTTTTATGTAATTACAGATGACGTCAATATTGACGTCATCTGTAATTACATAAAATACTCGTGAATAATTTATTTGAAATTATTGTTATATTATTATATTTTCCTCGTTTGAGTTTTTCCTGATTTTCCTTGAATTCTTAACATTTTAGTCAATATTTCATATAAAGTCCATCTCTTTTTAAGAGATATATCCTTATTTTATCATTATCAACAATTCCTGAATTCCTTCTTTCATAATTCTTGAATTTTCAAAATTTTATTTACTTTATTTAATCTCTTAAAAAGAGATGAACTTTATGCGAAATCTTGAATTTTTAAAATTTTATTTAATATTTCATATAAAGTTTATCTCTTTTTAAGATATTAAATAAAATTTTAAGAATTCAAGAAATATCTAGTAAAATGCTGGAATAAAAAATCTTTTATTTATTAATAAAAAAATTCTAAAATTTTAAACGAGAAAAATCAATAATTTTAAGTAGTGACTTAGTTATGAGAATAGTTTTTCTCGTTTTAAAATTCTTTAATAAATGAAAGATTTTTAATTCATAAAGTGTGATAATAGGAAAATAAGAATGCATCTCTTAAAAAAGAGATGAGCTTTATACGTGTTCTTAAATTCTTAAAATTTTATTTACTTTATTTAATCTCTTAAAAAGAGATGAACTTTATGCGAGTTCCTGAATTTTTAAAATTTTATTTAATATTTTATTTAATATTTTGTATAAAATTCATCTCTTTTTAAGATGTTAAATATTAAATAAAATTTTAAGAATTCAAAAAATATCTAGTAATGCTGGATTAAAAATCTGGCAAAGAGTGCAAACAAATAAAATTTTATATTGATTTCATGCGGACGTTAACAGATATAAATGAGAGTTATATGATATACAATGTTGTAAAATCTATCGAAGCAATTTTTTATATGTATTCATATGTATTTTTTATATGTATTTTTCATATGTATTTCATTCGCCCATTTAAACCAAGGACATAACTCAAAGTCTTTTTTTTTTTTCCAAAAACGAGTTTGAATGTTTTAAATCATTAAAATTTATAATATTATTTTTAAACGCTTTACACTAACATTACAGAGGAATAAAAATATTATTAGGTTTTCATTCGTTTTATTTTCATTTCATTTATAAATATTTTGAATATTGGATGTATTGAATTTTTATCAATTATGAAAATAATTATTAAAAGCAATCCTTTTTAACTTATTTTTTTGATGCAAAATTCTCTTTTCAATGAAGAATTTTAGAAATTCTATATAATAAATAATAAAAACTCTAGGGCCAGTATTCAGTTCTTATATTTAATATCATCTTAAATAAGCTCATATAGCTATTCTGTTGGTTGAAATTTTATCTTAAGACGATATTAAATATAAGAACTGACTATGAATATCAGTCTAGATCACTTTTTTTTTTTTTTTAACAATTTCAAGGATGATATTTTTTAGAAAGATTTTTAGAAACATTTTTTAGTCATAATTAGTGCAAAGCAAATAAACAATGTATTCTTTGAATTAATTTGAAATCAATTTATCCTGAAACTTGTATTAAAGAAT